CTGACTTGTGCCAGAACGTTCGACACCAGCCTTCAAACGATTCCTAATGCCACCGGCGCCTCCGGCAGGCATCCATAGCTAACGCAATACCTTGACTGTATGCGCCTCATATAATCGTCTTCCGCCATGGTCTCTTCATCCACCCCCGAGCCGCCCGACGCGCAGAGCAGCTACACCAAAATGTCCGTCGGCGATGTCGAAGCAATTGGCGCTCACTGTCAGATGACCTTCTGCCGGCAACTGGACTTTCTACCCTTCCGATGCGAGAGTTGCCAAGGCAAATTCTGTCTTGACCACCGCAGTGAAACCGCGCATTCATGCGTCAAAGCTGGAGCGTGGTCGCAAAGGCGAGCACAGCTGAATGCAGGAAGCACAACCCCGGGTTATCGACCATCACCCAAACCCTCAGTCCTTACACACGAGCAACAATGTTCGGAAACCAGCTGCAAGACCTTGATCGACACGCCACTTGTCACTGGCGTTCACTGTGCCAACTGCAATCGGCGCTACTGCCTGAAACATCGATTTCGGGAAGACCACGACTGCAAAAACCTTCAACCACTCGGCGCTCGTCCACAACTTGAGGCACAACGTGAGAAAGGTCTCGCTGCTCTGAACAAACTGCGGGCATGGGGAGCAGCAAAGGCGAGCTCCGTCAGTATGCCACAGTCGAAGTCCAAAGCGGCCGCTGCCATACAGCTCAAAGCAGTCCAAGACCTCAAGCGCACAGCTAAGGGAGACGACAAGGTGCCACCCGAGAAGAGGGTATATGTCCATGTCGAGGCGGAAAAACAAACACTTTCGGCAAAGATACAGAACGGAAAGTTCTTCTACAGCAAGGAGTGGAGCGTCGGCAGAGTGCTGGACATGGCTGCCAAAAGTCTTCAAGTCCAGAACACGAACAACAGAGGTGGTGGAGAGGAGGAGAAACTCAGGGTATTCCACGTCGAGGGTGGCCGCATACTCGAGTTCTCAGAGAAATTGGGTACTTCGGTCCAGACAGGAAACACGATCGTCCTACTGCGAGGCGTGGGCCCAGCTGTGCCGGATCTGATCGAGATGTAGTCAGGTATACCTCTACGGTGTAGCGCAAGCCGGAAGGATTTTATGTGCAAAGCGCGGCGTTTGGAGACTAGATAGATACCCCAACATGCATGAACTTATCCATTACAGTAGCTCGTCATGCACTATAGATCGCAGCGAGAGGGCATGATCGTGATCGTTCGACTGTTCGTGCTCAACCTTCTCGCTACATCTCAATGCTCTTCCGCGACTTCCGACCCTGCTATCCTTTGCTGCATGTATCTATCTGTCTTCCAGTCAAGGTCCGAGACCTTATCGTGACCACTGCCAGAGAATTTGGCTGTAAAGGTGAGTCGGTGGAAAGTTGTTGAGCGGCAAAGTCAAATCCGTACCAAGCTCAGTTCCATCAGCGCCACAAGAAGGGTGGCCCTTGGTTCTGTCAGAAAGACTTGAGCGTCTGAAGAGCCCAGTGGCCTTATCGCGTGACTGCAGGTTGGATTCAGGTGAAGTGGACAATGTGGAGGCAAACACGCTTACGGGTCGATAGCCCGGCTTCCGATGCACTCGCCCGGAAATGTTTGCTACCCAGCGTGCCACGAAACCTTCCTGCCACAATGACCACACGATAAGTCTATCAAGCCGTATTGGGCTTTCCTACCGCTCAGGCGTATAGACGGCAGAGCAATGATAACTTACAGTTACAGCGCATACATAGATCCTGGTTACCGGTTTGCTTGTCTGCGTACCTTTCGCCAGGGATGAATATTCTTGCGGGGATGATCAGAATACGGCGACCAGAGAATTTAAACAGATGCGACCACAGCAGATATCGAAGCCAATTGCATAAGTTTTCGGCAGTGTATACTTCTGCCTATTCCTTCCGCAGCGTCTGATCCGAACTTGACTTAGTGCTTGTGGTCAAATCCAAGCCATAGAAGGCAAGTGAAGTCTTACTCGTCAGCTCTCTTTTATTTGCCTTCACCGCTGTTAAAACACGGAATTACTAGTGGATGTTTAGTTTCATTTGTTTGCCTTTACTTGATTGTCTTCACTAAGCAAACCATTTCATTCTCACTAGAGTTGAAATACTTAAGCTCGCTTTCTCCTCCACAAGTCTCTCGTCTCTCACACATCACTGAGATCTTCTCCATCTTGCACACACGCAGACTCCACTGCTCTCATCAGCTCATCCAACGACCATAATGGCTCCAGATCAGAACAAAAAGGCAGAACCACCCACCCAGCTTGAGGCCTCCGTTCAGGTGCTCAAAGAGCTGTATCTGGCAATGGATCAACAGATCGAGGTCGAAGAAAAAGCCAAAGCGGCAACCGCGGCTACAAGAGAGAAGAACAAGGGCACCGCAGCCCCCATTCGATGTGCCCTTGGAGCCACGTGGTTTTTGGAATTGATCAAAGACTACTTCGAATGCGCTCGAGAGGATTGGTTCGAGGATGAATGCCTAGACGACAGTGAGATTGCGACCGTCCGCCAATTCGTGGCGTTGATCAAGCAGAATGTGTCAGGAGGCTTCAACGGAGGAGACGAAGCTTTCCACGAAAAGATTGAAAGCTTCTGCGGCTCGTTCGACATTCAGATGTACAGATCGCCCTCAATATGATCTGGTGAGACCTTAGAATGCGGATGCTAGGGAGTGACTGACTGATATACAGATGAACGCCTGAGGAACGCACGACTTTTTCATGGCTGTTTTGCAAGCAGGTCGTTGACAAGGCGGAACAGAGTGGAGACAATGGTGTGCATCTAGAGGCAGGTCTTCTTGCCATTCGTTCGTTCGTGACGTTGAAGCATCTGGGAAGTGGAGTGTGAGTCGAGTGGAGGAGGTCGGAGCAGGAGCGCGGAATAGATTATGGCATACTTCTTGTGGAGTCTACACTGATTTGCTCCACAAATGTCACTCACCTTCCTTCCCTCTCACTCGGTCGTTTGTCCCACTATGCCTTGATCACTGACTTGACCAGCTGGACTCATATGGTTGAAGACTAACTCAGATGATTCCGAGCAAGGCGACGCTTCAGCGCGCTCAGATGCTACACTAATACGCCAAATGAAGACAAAATGCTCTTCTCTGTGCCACATTGCCTCTAAGTCATTGCGATCCGTCGCAACTTGTTCGACGGATTCGATACGATTGAAGGCTTACTATTCACCAATCTGGTTAACATCAATATGAAATCGCAGGACCTGTGACACTCAATTTCCTTGCCGTGCTTTGCAGGAGGAGAAGGTCTGGATATTACCGCAATCCGGCAGTACGAATTCTAGACTCGTACATTCTCTCGGATTTGATCTCTTCTTATTTGAGCGATCACTGTGCGATATACCCGAACAGACACTTAATACTCCTTGCGTGGTTCGATTACTACAGACCTCATCAATGTGGTTGGCTATAAGAGAAATTGAGTGATCATGGGTCATAATCCCAGCAGACATATTCTGGAAGGCATTGATTGGAGCCACACTACGACAGCCCATTGAACCGCTTGCAATCACTGCAGAGGCGGCAGATCACACACGGCTTGAATTCGAGCCTACGCCGATGACAAGTGAGCGTAGTCTCGTTCGGTGTTTGGAGAAGGTGACAAAATCTGTAGCCTGCAACTTGTTGAAGCCGGTCTCAAGAATAGGAATCTGCAGATCAGGCATCTGCTTGGCCAGCAGGTAGAGGCATTTCTTTGAGGTTTTGACATTCTACAGCGGCAGTGACTTGGTACTAGGATGTAGGAATGAAGGCGGCTGCCAGATCGTCGATTTTGGGGAGCGAGCGGTGAAATTTTGAAGAAGCCGAAAGGCTATCTGAGGTTCGGCAGAATCATGGTTGGCGGAGGCAATGAGGTTGCGTACTTTGCTGGCGTAGTATTGACGCCGTTCGAGAGAGTTGATGGACTGGATCCAGTCAAGTGAACATTCTCGCCAAATGAAGTCAGTTGAGATGTCAGCCCAAAGTTGGTTCACTCTGCATGTCGCTCTCAAGGTAAAGCGGCCGTCTTCTGTATCAGCGACAACGCCCAGGATGGTGCGAACGATCTCTCAACGGCACCTAGCGCTGTCTGCATGATGTCAGGGCTTGAGGTGCGCAAAGACGAGACACGATTACACATACCTGTTGCCGAAGTCGATGCCATTGCGTAAGCGCATGAGTTGGTCAGCGAGGCTTGAGGCAGAAAATTTGGTGCAAGTGACACGCAGAAAGAGAGTGGCAAGGAGGTCATGTTACACAAAGACGGGTTCCTAGAGTTGGACCTGCTTAGACTGCTGCCGCCTGTCATTAACACGTGCGAGGTCCATACGAAGCATGTACGAGGAAGACGGCTGCACTAGCTGGTTGCTTTCCTTCTGCCGAGACATGTCATGTTCGGATCAAGCTAGAAAAGATGAAGAGAGTAGATTGTATGGTTGAGCACAAACTCAGCTAACATCAAATTCTCAGTTTATGAATCATGCCATGTTGTTGGTGGTAAGTGACCATGTGTCTTATCACGGTCTGGCTATCTAGTTGGACCTAAGATGTGTTGAGGGCCCATAAAACATTTGTCAACGTACCGAGCTGCTCGATTAATGCCGTAGACGACCAGATGCCACAAGGTTCATAGAGATGATGTCGTATAATGGTGGTCATGTTCTATCGCATGAATTCAAGAGTTGCTGCAGCGTTGAGAAGGTAGACAGATTACCAGCAAGTGGAACGAAACAAGGAAATGCATACAAACAGTAGTGAATGGCCATGAAAATTAGCAGCGCTATGTGGACAATACTCACAATGAGCTGAGTATGCACATAATATCGCGAAGGACTGAGAAGCAATTATATTAGACAATGCAGATGGAAGCTGCCTCTACGAGTAGGCTGGGCATGCTGCAGGCATCCTGCCGCTTTTCCGTCGAAGTCCCAAGCCGAGACGTCGTGCAGGCTTCATGTAGTATATATATTATCTAAATTCCTGACCGTTTCGAACCTAGGTCTTATGGTCTAGTGGTATGATTCTTCCTTCGGGTTCACACCCGCTCTAATTCCAATTGGAGCTCTCCTGGCATGGAAGAGGCCCCGCGTTCGAATCGCGGTAAGACCCATTCTTTTAGCTACGTTTTTGACTGTAATGACTTCGTTGCATGATGCCGTTTCTTTCGCGTCTTTCAGAGCGGATGCGGAGTGATATGCAAGGCTTTTCTTATTCTTTTGGCCTAATACTCAAGCGTGAGGAGAGCTGAGTCCGCGAGTTCGAATCCTGGGGTGACCCGATCACAATACATCCTGTCTTTGCAAAGCATCCGATCACAGCCAGGACGTTTGCCAGCCTGTAGTCTTTTTTTCAAAATCTGCTAGGATTGTAGTCAGGAAGTCCTTTGCTACCAAAACTATATTCCTGACCGACAGAGAACAATGTTGAGGGTTTGATGGTGCAGGTTGAACCTGATCGGCCCGTGGCGCAGTCCGCTGAGTGACAAGCGCTCGCGCTGCAAATCTCGTGCAGAATCACAACAGACCGGACCTTCATGGAGGCTGAGTTAGAACCACATTATGTATCAGGATCTCTCCGATTATATACTTTTTACTATTGTAATGACATGATAGCTCCTATGATATCACCCAAGACTATTCCCGCGGTTCAGACTTCAGTTGAGGGTGGAGCCAGCCCAGAGGTACGCCCAGAACTAGGGCGGTTCGAATATTCAGGGGCGGCTACATGAAACGCAAGGGCCTGGGCTGGGGTAGGATTGGGGGTCTTTGACTGGCTCTCATGGCTATGCACGTACCAGCTCCGGCGGGAACGTGCCTTTCGTGCCATCCAGTCCGGAGCCTCAGGGCTAACGCAACCTCGACTCTCCGCCGTTTTCGACTTCACGTCCTTTTACCTTTTCTTCCCCTCGTCGCGCTCGCCGTTTTGTAGCCCCTCGCGTCCCTCCTTATCTGCGTTCATTCCCACTCTAGTCATTCTTTTTGGCATTGCCGCCAGTCTCTCTCGAGACGAGTCACTCTTTACAGATCTCAGTCCTTCGTTCAGTCCTTTGACTACACTATCTCAACATGCTCTCCGTTTTTCGATCCGCTCTCCTGGCGCTGGCGCTTACCTCGTCTGTCCTTGCTCAGACTTTCACCGAGTGCAACCCCCTCGAGCGCGACGATTGCCCTGTGAACACAGCTTTGGGCACCACTGCCTCTTTCAACTGGACCACCTCTGGTGCTGACAGTTCTGTGTGGAACACCACCAACGGACAGATCAACTTTGCCACAGATGGCGCCGAATTCAGCATTGCCCGCAAGGGCCAGTCACCCACTATTCAATCCATCTTCTACATTTTCTTCGGGCGTGTATCGATAATTATGAAGGCCGCACCTGGCCAGGGTATCGTCAGCTCTGTCGTTCTTGAGTCTGCCGACCTCGATGAAATTGACTGGGAATGGATTGGCGGAAACACTACCCATGTCCAGACAAACTTCTTCGGAAAAGGAGACAACACCACTTACGATCGCGCGATATGGTACCCCGTCGACAACACTCTCGCGGAACACAATTACACTACCGTCTGGACTCAGCCGAGTCTTCAGTGGTACATTGACGGTCAGATGGTTCGCGAACTACTTTGGGATGATCCCAAGGCCATGAGCCACAACAAGTCTGGAGCACCAACCCCTGTGCCTGGCGACAGATACCCTCAGACACCCATGACAGTCAAGATCGGTAACTGGGCTGGTGGTGACCCCTCTGAGAACGCCGAGGGTGTGGTAGAATGGGCTGGTGGAGCGGTCAACTACGACAAGGGCCCATACGTTCAGGTTGTCAGCGCCGTCGAGGTTGAGGATTTCACCAAAGGTAGCACATATACCTACGGCGACAAGACTGGCAGCTGGGAGAGCATCAAAGTCGCAACGTAAGTCATGTGTTTAGAAAGTGGATGACATGTGTTCTGACATTGGGACAGTGGCAACTCGACTATCGCCAATACACTAGCGAAGCCTCACGGTGTCAAAATGCGCTGGTCCAACCTGCCACAAGGGGCTCGCATTGGCATAATTGGCGGTGCCATTGGTGTTGGTGCCATCTGCCTCATCCTGTTCACCTTCTGCTGCATCAAGAACCGCCGTGCGGGCCGGAAAGAGCGAGCCATTGCAGATGCCGAATGGGAGCGTAACCTGACCGAGTTGCAGCGATACAAGCAGATGATGGTCGCTGAGGAAGAGATTCATCCTCGTGCAGGTTACATCTGATCATTGATCTAGCTGGGCTAGTGTCTTTTTATTCCATTCTCATGTACCATTTTTACGGCGATCATGATGTGAATTGACGATGGACGAACATCATCATATCCACCAACTTAGACAATTTCTCTTTCCTGCACGAGTTTGTAGGTGACTCTATGATTTGATATCCAAGGACAGCAATACAACTTTCCCACACTACTGCTTTCCCACACTACTGCTTTCCCAACACCACTTCCTTGTCAAAATTCTCAATCTCTCCCGAGTGATCATCAAACCTCCCGCCCGCCAATTCCACCTCAAATTCCAGATCCGGCTGGAACTCAGCATATAGTGCCTCTGCATCACTCGCCATCTTAAAAGTAAACCTCGCCGCCTCCTCCGGCACCAACACCTTCTCCACCCCGTTCGCCGCCGCCGCCTCCACCAACAACTGACACTGCGCGCTCCTCTCCATCAGCGTGAACAAATATGCTGCCTCATCCACCGTCCCACCCACCGTGAGTAACCCATGGTTCCTCAGCACCATCCCCTTACCCTCCGCCCCAAGCGCAGCAGCCAACCTCCTCCCTTCCTCAGGCTTCAACACCACGCCCCCAAACTCCTCATACACCGCCTGCGCCGCGCCATAGAAGTAGCACACATCCTGATTGATCATCTCCAGCCTGCGCCCAAACGCCGACCACGCCTTACCATACGGGCTGTGCGTATGGCACGCGGCATTGACGTCCGGTCTAGCTTCGTGCACGGCGGCGTGGATCAAGAACCCTGCCGCATTGGCGGGGCGGGACATGTTGCCCCCGATGGGGCGACCGAGGGGGTCGACGAGGATCATGTCCGAGGCGCGGAGGAGGCCAAAGTGCCGCCCTAGCGGGTTGGTCCAGAAGCAGGAAGGGTATTGCGGGTCGCGCAGGGAGATGTGGCCGGACATGCCTTCGGTGTAGTCTTTGCGGGCGAAGACGCGGAAGGCGCCGGCCATGTGGGCGAGCATGTCTTTGCGAGCGGCGGAGAAGGAGGGGTAGGTGGGGATGCCGGGGAGGGTGGCGCCGCAGGATATGGCTTGGAGGGCGGACTTGGACTCTACGTCGTCGTCGTTGTTGGGGGAGGAGGTGCTAATGGGTAGGGACTTGGAGGGGGCGTGGAGAGTGGCGGTGGAGGGTGGTGACACGGCGGAGGGAGCCATAGTGGCAATTGTTGTTTCTGTCGTTGAAAGATGGATACGATTGAAGAAGTGTATTCAGCTCAAGATGCTCTGATATAGATTTAGAAGACTCAGGGAATTGAAATTCCTTTCGACGTTAAAAAGAAATGGTAAACGGACCCGCGATTGAAGGTCTATATAAGAACCCTTTTCCAATACAACCGGCGGGGCAGAGAGGGGCAAACCGGCGGGCCGGTGCCGGTTGTGTGCCCCTCCGCTGTAGTCATAGGGCGCGAACATGAAGCAATTCCCCACGACCACGAACGATAGGATCCTGAGCCGTATTTCGAATCAGGAAATTATTCGATTCAAGGAAATTCGTCCAAAACTGTGTACACATCCTCCGCCTCGACCAAACAAGTAACCTATCCCGACGCCGACGCGATGCTCTTCCCCTTTACAACCAATCCCATCAAAGCGCTTATCATTCCTCAATGACTACTTTCTTCGTCATGCTGTCCACCACCTTGGTGTAGAACTTGACCGCGTGACTCCGTGGAAAGCAGATCTCCTCTGTCAGATAGTCGGGCAGAATGTCGATCAGGTCTCTATCGCGACCCTCATCGAAAAATGGCTCGTAGGCGAATTCAGCATCTTCGTAGCTGAGCCCGCTTGGTGTTTTGGGGTTGACTTGTGTCGAGTCGTTGTTCACCGAGAGGTGGAAGTGCAGCGCTAGAAGTCGTTAGCATCTCGGTATATGATTTGTTCAAACATGTCAATGTACTCACTTCCATTGCGTCCCGTCTGGATGCAGCTGAACTCGTCCTCCCCGTCCTTGCGCTTGACCGAATTAATGATCAGACCAGTCAAGTCACGGTATAACTCCTCCTTCAATGCAGCTTGCTTTGCACTGTCCAAGTTGCTACCCGTGATATTCGTCCTCGCCGGAAGATCGCGATTCTTGATTGCGCTGCCAGGCGCCTTTGCTGCTTCTACAGTCGCTTTGCGCGCTGCTTCCCGTGCCGCCTCGAGTTTTGCTGTCAAAGCTTTGACTTCATTTTGCGCTTCGGAAAGTGATGTCTGCACGCCCTTCAGCTCGTTTTGTGCTTGCTCCTGGTTGGTCTGTAGGGTATTAATTTGTGTGTGTAGCTTGGCGTTGTCCGATGTGGTGGTCGATGATGATCTCCGCGCTTCTGACAGCTCCTTCTTCAATGATGCGATCAGATCACTAGCGTCTTTTGCGCGCTGGTCTGTAGCACGCTTGAGCTTATCGAAATTGCTTTCTGCTGCATTCGTGCCCAGCTCCGACAAGCTCTCGTATTTCAGTCGCATGTCCTCATACTTGGAGGTCATATCCGCCAATTTGCGCCGGCTTTCGCCCTCAGCTAGTCGTCTATCTGTCAAAGCTGCGCTACCCTCGCGAGAAAAGACGCGCGGCTGTTGCGAAGTAGATCTTGCTCGTGGAGGGATGACATGTGTCTGCGCTTGTTGCTGATTTGAGACTGATCGTGGGCGAGTAAATGCTTTCTGTACCTTTGGTTTGATCTCCGGCTCTTCTACCAACATACTTTCCGGCTCGACTTCGATCGATTCGGATACATCCTCTACCTGTTGGGTCTCTGGAATGATCGACGCGGGTCCGGGCGATGCGACGCGTTTCTTTGCCGTGGCAGCCTTTGTAGTACCATTTGTCTTTGCGACTCGTGCTTGCGCGCCATTTGTTGCTTTCG